CAAGGACACGGAAGTGGTCCCTCCACACTTTCGTGACCTCTTGTTGACTATGGCAGACACTACCATCACCCTTCACAAGCAAGGGGAGGGGAGCATTACCCTGGCGGCGGAATTTCTTGGGGCGCATAACCCTGCGAACAGCCGCAGCAACATACAATCCAGGGCCCTCCCTATCTGCAGACGCCAAAGCCATCTGCCTCAGTAAAGACGGACCCAAAAGGGGCAAGTGAGACCCAAGACTGGAAGGCGCAGCGGAGCAGAGTGTTCTTTAATGCTTCACTCCTCGTGCGCAGAGAGTGTCGCAAGGTGGCGACAAGCCGGTGCAAACGAATGGTGTTTTCTGAAAAGTGGCCCCCCGCGAGGCGACGTCGTGCCTGGGGGAAAGCCGCAACCAGAGACCTGTAGAGGTAATCGACAAAATCAGCTGCATGTTCGCTAGCGTCAACGGACCAAGGAACGCGCGGTGAATTTCGCAGGATAGAGTCGACAACATCGTGATTGGCAGGGTCCGCAAGAGCAGCCCTGTCAATTCTACGTGCACGCGCCCCGTTTCTGCAACGCTCAGGGAACGCGAATGTGCACCGTATCACCACCACAATGTGATCAAGGCAGCGATGGCCAGCAGAGACAGCAGGGTCAGCCCAGGCGACGCAGCAAGAGAGATACCATGCACCAGGAATGGCTACGTAATCTGACCTATCCCACTCGCCGCTGCGCTTCTGGTAGAGGGTGCCGCCGTCTCCAGAGGCGAAGTCAGAGAATGTGGCCGGAAGCCAGCTGCCCACACTGTGCAACAGTGTTCGAAAAAGAGTACCGCCGCTGTCCTCAGTATCGGCCTGGTGAGGGCCAATGGCCTGATCGTCTGGGCTCCCAACCCTGCAGTTACCATCTAACATCAGAAACCAATGCTCGTCTCTGGCATAAGCGGAACAGATGTGTGTCAGACGGTTCCACCAATCAGTTCGGAAGGCCTCCTCATGCGCTCTGTGAGGGCCATGAGCAACCAGAAGGCGTAAAGTAGAACCACGGAAGGGAACACCAGCAAGGAGAAGGGTCGGCTCCGCATGCACAACCGTGAGATCGTCCGCAGAGAAAGGGGCACGATCTGAAACCCAAAGCTCGACCCCGTATGAAGCATTATCATCTCGGCCTGACATGAACCGGCGAAAACCTTGGCAGCGTCCTGTGCCTTTGAGGGTACGGCATTCTTGCAGGCCCGCAACGTCAGCGCGGATCCGAAGGAGAGAGTCACTCAAAAGGTTGACACGACCGGTAGCACCATGAAGGCCTGCCGAGTGCGCGGAGGGACCGGCGTCCAGCAAGGATAGTGCATTAAAGGAGACGATGCAGAAAGAGACAGAATCCGGGCCCTTGGAGAACCGAGGCGGTCCTGACCCGTCCACTGCACGAAGAAAAGGGCGAAGAGGAGCCTCCGGCTCCCCACGGCTGGTACCTAGACCTCTGCTCCACGTCATCACTTCACCGCGAATGGCAGGAAGCTGGCAAGGGTGCAATGCTGACATGCATACATGCGGGAGCCAAAGGAAGGCAGCACCCTGCTCACCAAACCAGAGCGAGAGATCGAAGGAAGGCAGCCGAAAGGACTTACCGCTTTTGGAGGCTGATCCAGCCAACGCGTCGGCCAGCTCATTGGCCGGATCCGAGGAGTGCCCCGTTAACACATGCTGATACGTGACGTATGGCTTAAGAAGTCGAAGGGCAGTATGAAGGGCACCTGCAGCCTCGCCCAGGGGGTTATCCTGCATAAGGGACGCACCTTCAGCACCACGCAGGGCACTGATATTGTCGGCCCGAATGATCAGGGCATTGCGGAAAGGAAGTCGCAACGCCAGTACCGCACCCCGAAAGAGGCCTGCGACCTCGGCAACATAAGCACTGTAGGGGCCAAAAGCAGGTCCCACAGCATGGCGCAGATCGTCTACCGATCCGGAGAGACAACCAACAAACTGACCAGGCAGCAAGAAGTCGCTCCCAGCAACGAGGCTGACCGTCAAACCCCAACCTGCGGAAGAAGTGCTGGGATCGAAAGAGCCGTCGGTAGTAATGACGATTACCTCGTCAGGTGCAGGAGATCGCCCAACACAGCCGGCCTCGACCCAATCCGCAAATCGTTCGGGGCGAGACAGCCCAGCATGTGGGTGGCAGAGAACCCCAAAGGAAGTAGGGCGGCATAAATCAGCAAGCATACCGGCGGTGCAAGGCAAGAGACACTGCCTGGCGTCCAGGTCAAAGACTTCCGCCGCCACTGGTGCACCGAATAAGGGCCTAGAAGAGGCACAAGCCACCGCCTCTCCACGGGAGGAATCAGTCTCGGCTGGCAATAAGCCGTTTAGAGAAATCACAACAGGCGGATCGGCAGGCGCATGAGGAGAACCGCTGTCCGGCTTAGGAGGAAGGGATGAACCCCTGCGGGTCGGGGAGGCAACATCATTCCACCCGAAGAATTCGAAAAGAGTCTCGACCAAAGTGGACGCTGCGAAAGCCCAGCGGTTGGAAACTGCTGCGCTGTGTTCCAAAATAGTACAGGGGGGATCAAGCCCTGCATTGCAGAAGGAGCGGACCGAGCAAGCATCCATCTCGTCCTCAGAGTCAGAGTCCGGCTCGAAACCCTCTGAAGTGCTGAGATAATATACGCAACCCGAGCCGCAGCCGCCATAGTGGCCACCGGCGTGGCTCCGACAAGGAGTAGGTATGGGTCGCGGAGCGGGAGGAGAACAGAATTGTGTGGTCCGCGCACACGCACGCACATGCATCTAAACTCTTTAGCCTAAACCCCAAACCATATCGAGCCCTTGGATAAAGCCTAAACTGCCCTACTAGAGGGGCCTTAATAATTAGAATAGGGTTTGGGGTCTATTATACTATACGTAATTACAATACGGAGCCCCCAAAAGCCTATTCTAATCCTTACTTGGAGGCCCAGGGGACTTAGTAAGTCGGTTCTAAGTAGGGTTATAATTGGGGTAACTCCATTTAGGGTAATTATAACTCTACTTATAACCTAATTACTAAGTCCCCTGGGCCTCCAAGTAACCCTGAACAATCCTAGCCTCCAAACCTGAAGCCCGACAGCATCCTAGACCCTAAACGCTGAACCTCGGACCCTACCAGGACCCCCCAATGGCCCTTTCATAGAGGCCCTTATGGTCCTTGACAGTGGGTATTTGGGGTATTGTAGAGAGTAGTGGGGGGGGGGTCTAGCTACACCCTGAATCCTAAACCCTAAAGCCCTACACGGTAAGCTCTACGCCCGCAAGCCCGCTCAGGGTGCTGTGATGCTGCTGAACAGGAAGGCCAACGTGGGAATGTCCGATCTGACAGGCTCCGGAGCTCTGAGCTTTAAGGGTTCCTTTAAGGGTTTTGGGTTCCTTTTAAGGGTTCCTTTTTCAGTGTTCAGGGGTTCGGCTTTTGAGTTCCTTTCAGGGTTCCTTTGTCTTCGTTTAGGGGCTTGGGTTTCAAAGAGTTTAGGATTAGAAAGGTTAAAGGGGGTTCAGGATTTAGGGGATAGGGCTTAGACTGGATTCCTCTAAGGGTTACGTTGACGGTTTCCCTAGAAGGGGTCAGCGTACAGGTTCGGGGATGAATCTAGAGGCCTCAAAAAAGGAATTACCTATACTGTTTTGGGGGCTCCGAATTATAAACATAGTATAAAAAGCCCCAAAGCCCTATTCTAATTATTAAGGCCCCTAAACCCTAAACCCTAAACCCTAAACCCTAAACCCTAAACCCTCAACCCTAAGCTAACGGTGTAGGGTTCAGCGTTTAGGGTTGGGGCTTTCTTTGTTCAGGGCATTGGTTTAGGGATTTTGGGCGTAGGTTTAGGGTTTAGGGTTTAGGATGTCGGGTTGTTAGCGGGTTTAGATGTTTTGGGATTAGGATTTGGGGCTTTTGAGTTTTAGGGCTTCAGGCTGTTGGTTTCGGGTTCTTGGGCATGGTGCTGCTTGGGGATAGGGTCCACTGGATGGGGGCGACTTTACTGGCCTACCTAATAGTCAAAGTTCTCTCCCAAATATTAACTCACATAACTCTGGGTCCTTGTTGGCTACGGTTTTGCTTTTGTGTTAAATAATACCCAATAAGGATTTTATTTTGATATAGCCCCAACAGCAACCAGAACTACCATCCTAAACCCAGGGGGTATTCGGCCTTCTAGGAGGGGCTTAGGCTGCACCGGGTTTGTTGTGCTGCGGCAAGAAGTCGGGTAAAGGCTCGAAGGACTAGAGTTGAAGTTTTAGGGTATACCTTAACCTACCAAAACCAACTTATTTGTAGGGCCGCTATAAATTCCATATTAATTCGGATCTATAATAAGAGCCTACAAAAACAGGTTATGGTAGTTTAAGGTTTAAGGTAGGGTGCAGGGTTTAGGGTTGCAAGCCTTGGCTGGTTGCGGGAGGCGGGAAGCCTTGAACATCCAGCTGCAGGAGGGCCGAGCAATTCTACACAGCAGGGCACATCGTGCGTTGGCGGCGCTAAACCCTAAACCCTAAA